CAGAATCTCTCCTCCTCACATCTTAGCATGATGGAACTGTTCAGATCCTTTCCTCAGAAGAGTAAGGGGAGGTATCACTAAGAGGGCAAAGGGCACAGACTGGAGGAAGGGCCTAACAGTCTGTGTCATCGTAAGAGCTGGACAAGCTCTCAGAGCTGCCGTGGGTAGAGCTGGACATCTGGAGAACATCTTACAACTGCAGACCCCTTCTCACAGAATGCCCACCTGCAGACAGAGCCTGAGAGCTTATTGGACCAGAGCTAGGAAGAGGTAGAGAATGGAGGAAATGCAGTGGAGACCAGATTGGGAAGGGAAGAAGTAAGCTTGAGTTTAAAAACAAAACAAAATTCCAGAGATGTCGAACGATGGAGTTACCTCAGAATGAGGCAAGAGAACTGTGGTCAGAAACACCAAGTAAGTAGAGTCCAGGATGAGGACAGGAGCCAAGAGCCCTGGGCAGAGCAATGCAGGGAGGGTATGGGGTAGGCCAGTAGACAATTATGGGCACAGGTGATCGGGTGCAAGTTCAGACAATGAGCAGAGCAAGTAATGGGAACATGGACACAGGTGAGTGGTTGCTTTGTTCAATGAATGTTTTCCTTCCCAATACTACTTATTAAAGGCCTATTCCCAGGGAGAACCTGACAGGGCAGGATTTAGCCCCAATTTTACAGATGAGGAAATCCAGGCTCTGTGAGATTAACTGACAACTAATGAATGGTAGACTCTCGTGACTCCTGGCCCAGCCCTCTTCCCATTGCCTCTCACCATGAATCCTGACCACCCCTGTTTCCACAGCTGCCAAGGTGAGTAGGGAAGCAGGCTCACCAGCAAGCTGTTCAGCCCTAAGCACTGTGTGTCAGAATGAAAGATGGGGAGGGAGGAGGGGAAAAGAAACAAGACCAGGGTGGGGTTGGCGGGGTTCTGACTATTTAGGCACAGAGGGAAGGGGGGGAAAAGGATAATTAAGTGAAATGATTTGAAAACAATTACGAAGCACTCAGTAGCAAAGAATATTGAAAGGCCCAGTTGGATAAGAATAGCTCACATTTGTCTAGCATCTCAAGGTAAATAAAACACTTTCCATTCATTATTATCTCATTTGATCCTTACAATGACCCTGAGGTGTGAGTGCTATTAACATCCCCATTTTATAGTGGAGGAAACTGAGGCTCAGAGAGGGTGACCTGCCTTGGGCTACACAGCTCCTAAGTGTCTGAGCTGGGATTTGAACTTAGATCTTCACGCCTCCAAGTCCAAAATTGTGTCTGCCTGCACTGCACTTGGAGTCAGGGGAGATTTAAGTGGATTCAAATCCTGGCTCCAATATTTACCAGTTGTGTGTTATTGGGGAAACTGTTCCATCTCTCTAAGTCCCAGTTTCTTGATCTGCAAAATGAGGGTGATGGTCCTCAAGCCATCTAACTTAGAAGAAGATGCTAAGTAAATCTTAAAGCACTATGTTAATGTGTTATTATTATATTATGAAGGGGAAGGCTTTCGAGTGAAAGTTAGTTGGGGAGAGGCTTCTTGGAGGAACTGACTGTCAAATGGACACACAGATGAGTGGGAAGGTCATTCCCAAAGGCAGGAAATGTGACTGGGACAAATTACACTGTGTCTCCAACATGGCTAAGTGACAGGTTACAAGAAAAACCTAAGGCAGCCTTGAAAGGTAAAAAGTCACCAAGGTGACCAGGTGAAAAGGTCTGCCAAGCAGAGGTAGGGGTTGATCATCAGTACAAAAGCCTTGGATGGTTTCAAGCAGCAACCAGAAGAGTTACCAGATAATCTCAAAAGGTAAGGTTCCTTCTAGCTCAGTCTATGGATCTATAATGTTTATATCTGATGATAAGGAGATACGTCATTGTAATACCAGGTAAGTCCTGTGTGTGTGTGTGTGTGTGTGTGTGTGTGTGTGTGTGTGTGTGTGTTGGGGATGGGGGGAGGGAGTGGGAAAGTGACAAGAATAAATCTGAGAGGGAAGGATGTCTTTGCTCTTGGCCTTGAGGTCCTGCCTCAGCAAGATGAGTGGAGCCACAGTGATGAGGGTGGCCAGAGATGAGAGGACCAATCAGAAAGAGCAGAGAGGCCTTGGCTGTCTGCAGGTATTGGTTAGAGGGCACTGGAATTCTATTTGGGATCTGCTGACCCAGGGAGGAGGGGGTGGCTCTATAAGGAAACCCACCAGTGCTATTCCCCACAGGCCCACCCGATGTCTGACTTCTCCCGTGGGGCTTGGAGAAACTCCAGCCCACCCACAAACACTTTGTCAAAGGAATTCTCTCCCTAGGCAAAGATGGAGCTGTTTTATCTCCCAGCCCCCACTTAGCAGGGTCAGGGAAGTAACTAACTTCCAGTTTCATCCAATCCTCCTCCTCCAGAAGAGGGGGGCCAGCTTTGCTCCTCACTTCTGATTCCGTCTCACAGATTGCATGACAGATTTGAAAGCAAATGGGGTCAGTCATTTAATACCTTGCCAAAGGTGTCGAGGTTCCACGATCCGATAGATTTAGAGCTGGACAGTCCCATAGAACTTTGGGACCTTCTCTCTGGAGGTTCTGCAAGGGCAGAAAACAACCCATATAAATCACCTAGCAAAACAAAAACAGGCTCCAGGGATAAAGCTCTGTGCTGTTAACTAAGAAACGTCCCCCTGGGGAGGACTCAACTTCCCTGGAGGTGACTGCTTATGCTCCAAGGCCCCTTCCCCTGCTCCCTCAGCTCTGTCCTAGACTCTTGACTCTGCGCCTCTCCCACTTCCCACCCTTACTTCTGTGAGTTAAGAACCTGGGATCAGAAGGCTCAGGTTTGGGGTTCAGGGGGCTCATTGAGGCAGGAAAAGGGCTTTCTGAAACTTCTCCAGCCTGGTCTCTGGCGTCAGGACAAATGTGAATGTGGTGGGCTTCCTCCTGATTCTGCCCCCAGACTGCTCTGAGGACTGGGGAAGCAATTCCAGGCATAGGCCAGACTGGGAGGCAAAATCATGAAGCCAAAGAGCCAGAAAGGTCCTTAGAATGGAAAACGTCACAGCCAAGGGGGGCCTTAGACCACAGGATGTCAGAGCTGGGAGGGCCCTTAGAACACAGAATGTCAGAGCTGGG